GGATATAGGGCTCTCGAAGGAACAAACAGGCACACTTAGGTTCGCTTCTAAAAACGCTTTATTACAAGTAATAAAAAATAACCTTGCATTAAAATCAAAACCACATTTTTGGATCAAAGACAATGCAAAATAATCCCGTATCACAAGTGATATCCAACTATATTGTATATCATTAACAATAATAAAACCGCCGATACAAGAGATTATAGGCATGTATAAACAGTGACAATTGAAACATGCATATACAGAAAGTGCAACTTGATATTATGGTTATTGTGATAATTGATTGAATCAAAAAATTGACACTACAAAGCTATTCACACTCGGAGGTACCATCATTACCCACCTTCACTTTTAGACCGGAGAGCCCTTTTCAGTCCTGGCAGGAGACCAACACGTGAGTCCCGAGAAAGTGCCGGGCGATTTGCGCTCTGTCCCACGGCTGAGCTCCGGTCAGCACTGAGATCTCCCCCTTCCTTTATACTAATTTTGGGTGCTGCGTGCGGGCAGGGGACGAGCTGGCCACGCTCACCCCTCCCCTCAGGCAATGCGTTGTCTAATTTCCAATTTTGTCCGAGTAAGCAGCTTGCAGTTTCAATCAGAAGTGATAAGACAAGTTCCTATAATCAATGTGCCCCCCCCCCTCCTGAGGATGGGGTGAGCGTCCTACACACACTGACCACTAGGTGCGGTTTCAATCAAAGATAGTCAGACAAGTATCCTTGGGCAATGCTTTCCCCTCTTCCTGAGGATGGGGTGAGCGTCCTACACACACTGACCACTAGGTGCGGTTTCAATCAAAGATAGTTAGATAAGTATCCTTGGGCAATGCTTTCCCCTCTTCCTGAGGATGGGGTGAGCGTCCTACACACACTGACCACTAGGTGCGGTTTCAATCAAAGATAGTTAGATAAGTATCCTTGGGCAATGCTTTCCCCTCTTCCTGAGGATGGGGTGAGCGTCCTACACACACTGACCACTAGGTGCGGTTTCAATCAAAGATAGTTAGACAAGTATCCTTGGGCA